GGGGTGCAAGGCCCGGCGGCGGGCCGGGACCAGACCGGGGCGGGGCCGCGGGGCTTCAGGGCCGGCCGGCCGGGGTATCCCCACCTGCTGCTGTGGTAGCTGTAGAGACTGTAGTGACTGCTGGGCTGGGGCTCCAGTCTCCGCTCCTCCGCGGAGCCGCCCTCCTCGCTGCTCTCTACCTCCTTTTCATCCCCATCCAGCGATTCCTGCAAAGAGGGGAGCATCGCAGCGGCCTCTGAGCGGCCTTGTGTCCCCACCAAACTGCTCCCTGCTGCCGTACAGTCCTTGGTGGCCCAGCTCGTGTGGTTCCTAGCCCTCGCACATCTACGTTCCGCTGATTTCCCCGGGTTCTCAGACAAGGAAACTGGCTTAGGTTTTTTTTCCCCACAGGGGCTGGCAAGCAGGTGGTTTTTTTTTTTCCGGTTGTTGTTGAGAATACACACAGAAAAACATGTAACAATTCAACCCTTTGTACATGTACAATTCAGGAATATTGATTGCATTCTTCCAGTTGTGCAACCATTCTCATTCTCCTCCACATTTACATAAACTCACTGCCTCCCACAGATTCCTATCTCATCTTTCCGTTGCTGTAGTCAATTTGATCCAATATAGAGGTAGCTCTTAAAAGAGTATAATGTTCAAGGAAGACATCTCTTACTACTTAAGCTTAACTATTTGGTTTTAAGACTTTGAGGAGTATTTTTGGTTTAAATTTTAGAGATTATCTCAGGGTAATAATTTCAGGGGTTCATGTTGGTCCCTTGGCTCCACAAAGTCTGGAGTTCAACTAGCAGATGTATTGAGTTCACCTTTACTGAAAAACTTTTGCCATTTCTCATTTAACACACTTTTCCCCTCTATCTGTCTAAGAGAATTAGTTTGTGACAAAGGTGGTACAATTAGCTAGCCACGTGGAAAAGAATAAAACTGCTTTCCTACCTCACTCCTTACACACACACACACACACAGAGTTTGATCAAAGATCTAAGAATTTAAAATGAAGCAAAAACAAAAACAACAAAACTAGGTGAAAATATGGGAGAATTAGAAAATTTCTTGACATGAAGAAGGCCATTCTACACATAAAACATGCAGAAACTATACAGGGGGGGTGGGGACCAAACTGCCTATGAAAATGAAATACTTCTGTGTGCCCCAAAGTAAAAACACAAGATGAGAACCTGGGAAAACTATTTTCAACACATATAATTGATGGTGGGTTCTCATCAATTAATTTAAAAAATAGAAAATAGGCAGTTCACAGAAGTTATAAAAATGCAAGATACATAAATAAAATGCTCAATAGCAAATGAAAATGATGATATATCGTCCTACATTTCAGCTGTTGTCAGATGTTGCCAGGTGCTATCGATTCAATTTTCAACACGTAGTACCCTTGTGGGGAGCTCTGGTGCCGTAGTGCCTAGGACATTTGACTGCTAACCAGAGGGCTGGGGGATCAAATCCACCAGCCACTCCTCAGAAGACTGGGCAATCTACTTCTGTAGAAATGTTGTTGTTGTTAGGTGCCTTCGAGTTGTGTTCGACTCATAGTGGCCCTATGCACAGCAGAATGAAACATCGCCCTGTCCCGCGCCAGCTGGGCAACCCTTGCTATACTTAAGCCCATTGCCACAGCCACTGTGTCAATCCATCTCGTTGAGGGCCTTCCCCTCTTTAATCGACCCTCCATCTTACCAAGCATGACTTCTTTCTCCAGGGAATGGTCCCTTCTGACAACATGACCAAAGTAGGTGAGATGAAGTCTGGCCATTCTCGCTTCCAAGGACCATTACGGCTGTACTTCCTCCAGGACAGATTTGTTAGTTCTTTTAGCAGTCCATGGTACTTTCAGCATTCTTCGCCAGCACCACAACTCAAAATCATCAATTCTTCTTTAGTCTTCCGTATTCATTGTCCAGCTCTCACATGCATATGAGGCGACTGAAAATATCATGGCTTGTGTCAGGCACACCTTAGTCCTTAAGGAGATATCCTTGCTCCTCAGCACTTGAAAGAGGTCCTTTGCAGACGAATTGCCCACTGCCATATGTCGTCCGATATCCTGACTGTTGTTTCCATTGGTGATGATTGTAGAACCAAGCAATGTGAATTCTTTGACAACTTCAATCTTTTCTCCATTTAGTGTGATGCTGCTTGTAAGTTCAGTTGTGAGGATGGTTTCTTTATATTGAGATGTAATCCATACTGCAGACTGTATTCTTCAATCTTCATCAGTAAGTGCTTCAAGTCATCCTCACTTTTCAACAAGCAAAGTTGTATCATCAGCATATCACAGGGCGTTAATTATTTTTCCTCCAACGAGTCTCCCATAATGATTCTTCCATAGAGATACTGCCTCAGAAACCCAAGGAAGAGTCACTATGAGTTGTAATGGACTTGCAGTGAGTTTTTTTTTTTTTTTTTTTTTTTAGCATCCTTGTGACAGAGCAGCCACTCCTTGGTGGTTGGACAACCTACTTCTGCAGTGATACTGCCTTGGAAACCCAAGGAGGGGTTGCTATGAGTGGGATCTCACTCGAGGGCAGTGAGTTTGGTTTTCGGAATCTTTATAGGAACAGATTAGCAGGTCTCTCACCTGTGGAGCCACGGGGTGGGTTCAACTGCCAACCTTTCAGTTAGCAGCTGAGATCTTAACAGTTACACCATCAGGGCTCCTTATAACTGTGATAGCTAGCTAGCATTTACTGAGCATTTATTATGTGTCAGGAGTCTTCTAAGTACTTTATAAATATGAAATCATTTAATTCTCACAACCCCATGGGCATAGATATTATTATCCCACTTGTTGTTAGGTGCTGACCTTGCAGATGAGTAAACCCAAGGCCCAAAGTATGTAACTTTCCCAAGGTAAAATAGTAATAAGCAGCAGAGTGAAATTTAAACCCCAATACTTTTTATACAAATTAGTTGAGGATAAATTGCTGATATATATTGTTTTCTAGCCATTGAATTGAATAGATATTAGTTCCATTGTTTTGTTTTCTTATCATATTTTGAAAAGTTTTTTCCCCCAGGTCTCAACCATTTTCATAGGCCTTTGAAAACACTACAGGCCCTATGCACAGGACTGTGCTGATGGTGCGTACTTAGGAAAGCAGGCCTGGCTTTGATCAACATAGGATTTTAGGGCTAAGCTGACTTGCCCTTGAATCCCAGCTCTGCTACTGACTGTGTGGTCTTGGACAGGTTACTAAATCACCCTGTATCTCATTTTTCTCATCTGTAAAATGGGAAAAATATCACCTATCTCACTGACTTGTTATAAGAAGGAAATGAAACAATTCATCTAAAGTGTTTAGCATACTATCTGGCACAAACATAAATACCAAATTTGACATTGTTGTCATCAACACAATCATTATTTACATATACTTATAAGACTGATAGAACATTTGGGCATATTCCAGTCAGGTAAGATGGACATTCCAGGCAGAGGGAACCACATAAGCAAAGGCATAGAGGTGTAACAATACTAAAAAATCAAAAACTGAACCAGTTACTTTTTGAGTTGATTCTAACTAATGGCGACCCCATGTGATTCAAAGTAGAATTAACTGTGTTGCACTGGGTTTTCAATAGCTGTAATCTTTCAGAAGTAGATCACCCACCAGGCCTTTCTTCCAAGGCACTGCTGGGTGAATTTGAACTGCCACCCTTTTGATTAGTAGCTGAGCGCTTAACAATTTGCACCACCCATAGCCTCCTGCAACAACACTAGCACTAGGCATATTTTCAGAACAGTGGGTGATTCGCTTTGGCCATAATGTGTGGTTTGCTAAGAGGAATTGTTGTTGTTAAGTGCCATCGAGTTGGACTCGACTTATAGCGACCCCTCCTTGGGTCTCTGAGGCAGTATTACTCCAGAAGTAGGTTGCCTGACCTTCCTTCTGAGGAGTGGCTGGTGGGTTTGAACTGCCAGCCTTCTGGTTAGCAGTCAAGTGCCTTAGGCACTACGCCACCAGAGCTCTAAGAGGACTAGCGTATGGAAAAAATCTAGAAAATTGGTTGATACCAGGTTTTAGAAAGAAAAGAGTATCAAGGTGAGGAGTATGAAACAGCAATGGAGAGACCGTATTCATCTTTGAATCTTCAGGATCTAGCCAAAACAACTTTAGTAATGAAGAACAAAGTTGGAGGACTTCCATTATCTGACTTCAATACTATACAACTACAAGAATCAAGATGCTGTGGTAATAGTTTCATGATAAAAATATTTTTGAGTACTTCCTTATTTTATAACACCACAAGATGCTCCAGACTCATCTAGTATATTTCTTGCCCCACTCCTGGAATTAGTCATTTCTCCAAGAAATCCTGTTTCCTTTTATAGGAGAATGGCATTAGAAACTAAGATCTGGGTACTATGTGTGCTAATTGCTACTGGGGTGTCATTGCTTCTAGATGCTCTCAACAGAGAACAATGAAATATATGTATGTCTAACCCATACATGTGCACATATCTATCCATATTTCTATATGTAACCATATATATCTATACTAAGCTAAAATGAGTGATATCCCAACTGTTAATTCATTACCACATGGGTCATTTTGGCCTCCTTCTTTTGCTTATCTGTAAATTTCCACTTCAACAATGAGAAACATGGCTCCCACTACCTGCTATTCATTTACTCAATTCCAGTATACACGTATAGCAGTGTCAGAATTATAACCCATATCTCTATAAAAAACACAACCACTACCATGGAGTCAGATCTGACTCAGCAACCCCTCCTTGGGTTTCCAAAGCGTTATCACTACAGAAGGAGATTGCCCAACCTACCTTCCAAGGAGTGCCTGGTGGATCTGAACCACCACCTTCTGGTTAGCAGTCAAATGCCATAGGCACAACTATAGTACAGTGCTTATGTGCAGTTTCTTTTGCTACTAGTTTTCTAGAACCCACTTATTCTAAAGAGGGTTGTCCCCCCACTCACTTCACAACGGTGGTTTCATACATTTATAATACAATTAGATTCTCTTGTCACAGACTATTGTGTATCTTCACTCTGTGTTAAAAAGTTCTATGAAGTTTCAGACAGGTTTTTTATAAACGTGTAATGTCATGTATCCACCATTACAGTATGATCGGAATAGTTTCACCACCTTAAAAAATCTCCTGTGCTTCACCTATTCAACTCCCCTCCCTTTCGGCTTTTTACTATCTCTATAGCTTTGCCTTTTCAGGATGTCAAATTTTTGGAACCATACAATA